AGGGGGTTGGACTGGATGGCCCATGAGGTCTCTTCCAACTCTTTGATTCTATGATTCCTTCTGGCCTAATAACTATTGTATTTGTCAGAAATATTGAAAGTTAACAGTGTATTTTTGATTGCAAAGATGATGTACAGGGACTGAAAGAGTTAAAATGATGCAAAACCAGTAGGGTAATATAAGCAGGTGTGCCTGTGAGTTACTTGCTCCTCCTGTGTGAAGAATGCCTCAGTGTAAGGAATGCTGTGTTTGACTACTCTAAGGAGAGAGCTGCTTCAATTTGAAGTTTGTTGTATGTTCCTTATCTAAATGAGAGAGAAACTCAGCGTGAAGGCAAGAAGCTGAAGCAAAGATATAACAAGGAAGTATAAATAATTTTGTTTATGTTACGGAAACCTTGTTTTTGTAACTGTATTTTTTTATAAGAAAGGTCTCCAAAGGAAGATAACAATAGTCTCTGTGTGTGTTTTGATTTCGTCTTATACTGACTACTGTTTCTGGGTCATGTTGCTGCTGCTAAATAAGCTACTCTGCTTTATACTTTTATGGTGAGGGTCTTTTCTTATTAAGCCCATTTGCCAAACAGTATTCTTGGAGATTTCCATGGCCGGAATCACTGGGTTGTTGTGAGTTTTTTGGGCTGTATGGCCATGTTCCAGCAACAGTCTCTCCTGAACTTTTGCCTGTATCTGTGGCTAATGGCATCTTCAGAGGTTTTGTTGACAGTAAGGCCAATGGAGTGAAGATTTTGCAAACATTCATGACTACATCAAGTTTGCAGACGACACCAAATTGGGAGAGATAGCCAATACTCCAGAGGACAGGAGCAGAATTCAAAACGATCTTGACAGATTAGAGAGATGATTGGCCAAAACTAACAAAATGAAGCTCCAACAGTGACAAATGCAAGATACTCCACTTTGGCAGGAAAAACAAAATGCAAAGATACAGAATGGGGGACAATGCCTGGCTCGAGAGCAGGACGTGTGAAAAAGATCTTGGAGTCCTCATGGACAACAAGTTAAACATGAGCCAACAATGTGATGTGACGGCAAAAAAAGCCAATGGGATTTTGGCCTGCATCAATAGGAGCATAGTGTCTAGATCTAGGGAATTCCGCTTTGGTTAGACCACACCTGGAATATTGTGTCCAATTCTGGGCACCACAATTCAAGAGAGATATTGACAAGCTGGAATGTGTCCAGAGGAGGGCGACTAAAACGATCAAGGGTCTGGAGAACAAGCCCTATGAGGAGCAACTTAAGGAGCTGGGCATGTTTAGCCCGAAGAAGGATGAGAGGAGATATGATAGCCATGTATAAATATGTGAGAGGAAGCCTCACGAAGGAGGGAGCAAGCTTCCCTGGAGATTAGGAAAAGGAACAATGGCTTCAAACTACAAGAAAGGAGATTCCATCTGAACACGAGGAAGAACTTCCTGACTGTGAGAGCCATTCAGCAGTGGAACTCTCTGCCCCGGAGTGTGGTGGAGGCGCCTTCTTTGGAAGCTTTTAAACAGAGGCTGGATGGCCATGTGTCAGGGGTGATTTGAATGCAATATTCCTGCTTCTTGGCAGAATGGGGTTGGACTGGATGGCTAATGAGGTCTCTTCCAACTCTTTGATTCTATGATTCTATGATTCTACTCAAATGTTATTCAAGCTTTCTAATTGCAACATTCATGCTTGCTTTAAACAGACAAGGGTTCTTTCTCCCATCCTGGATGTTATTCCACAGGCATATAGACACCCCACTTGCTTCACTGCCAACAGAACCTCTGAAGATGCCCATTTAATCATGCATTCCTTTATCAGCTCTGGTACCATTTGCATCTTCAGTGATACTTTATACGTTTTGCATCATTAGTACATAATCCCTTTTTAAATTCTGATTGTTCTCTTTCAAATCCAATAGTTTTACTGTCTAGTGTCAAACTTTCTTCCAGTTGCCTATATCTGTACCACTGTAGGCAAAGTCCTGCATGCATCCATTTCTCTTGAGTTCTGGATCTGTATTTATCATCTTCATGTATTATTAAATCTCTGTATCTAATCCATTGTTCTCCTTTCTTTTTATCTAATTTGTAAAAAAGCTTCTTCTGTTGAAATTGATAATGGTTTTTTGGACATAATTTAATTTTGTACTTGTTCCATATCATTAGTATGGCTCGTCTTATGAAATGGTGATTAAAGTCCTCATTTGGGGGTTGGAAAACTTTCCCTTACATCAATGGCTTCCAACCTGTTTTTGACCAGGGACCATTTCACCAGGGACTATTTTACCAGGGACTACATTAATCAGAGACCACTTTGACCAGGGACAACTCTCCAACCTTAGTACCAAAAGGGTTACAAATCAGTTTTTGGTCAACTTTAGATAGATTCGGTTTGATTATTTGGGGTGTTGATTCAGAAAATTCCATTGGATAGACCACATCAGCTCTAGTTTCTGATATAGAACATATGTCATCCAGTAATCTCCATCTGCTCACCCACAGAAAATCATATTTAATAATCTAGAGCTGATGTGATGAGTCAGTCTCTACCCTCCCAACATCCCTGTTGGCTTGGCATTATAAGAGGGTTTCGCGAGACCAGTCAATCCCACTGCCACATGGTTTCAAGGCAACTGTGTAGTAATGGTGAGGCTGCAGACCATATTTTTGTTCTTGTGGACCATTGGTGACCCATGGACCACAGGTTGGACCACTGCCTTACATAGAGACTAACAAGATATTCCCCAAAGCCTATATTTTGGGATGTGGAGTCTTCATAGAATCATAGAATCATAAAATCAAAGAGTTGGAAGAGACCTCATGGGCCATCCAGTCCAACCCCATTCTGCCAAGAAGCAGGAATGTTGCATTCAAATCACCCATGACAGATGGCCATCTAGCCTCTGTTTAAAAGCTTCCAAAAAAGGAGCTTCCACCACACTCCGGGGCAGAGAGTTCCACTACTGAACGGCTCTCACAGTCAGGAAGTTCTTCCTCGTGTTCAGATGGAATCTCCTCTCTTGTAGTTTGAAGCCATTGTTCCGCATCCTAGTCTCCAGGGAAGCAGAAAACAAGCTTGCTCGCTCTTCCCTGTGGCTTCCTCTCACATATTTGTACATGGCTATCATATCTCCTCTCATCCTTCTCTTCTTCAGGCTAAACATGCCCAGCTCCTTAAGCCGCTCCTCATAGGACTTGTTCTCCAGACCCTTGATCATTTTAGTCACCCTCCTCTGGGCACATTCCAGCTTGTCAATATCTCTCTTGAATTGTGGTGCCCAGAATAGGACACAATATTCCAGGTGTGGTCTAACCAAAGCGGAATAGAGGGGTAGCATAAAGATAGAAACATGACATCATCTTGTTTATTAATCTAAACAATGTGTTGATTGCAACACAAGTTAAACAAGGCCAATACTTTCACTTGATGTTTTCACAGAAAACAAGCTTGTTATGAGTTGAGCATACCTTATCCATACTAACCAAAATAAGTCAGCCCTCCATATTTCAACTGGGGTCCCAATTACATTGCCAAATAAAATCCAGATTATCCGCTTTGAACTGGATTATATGGTACTGTATACTCACTACCACTAGCTGCAGAAAATCTGCTGACCAGAGGGTTAGCAGTTTGAAACCACAAGTCAGAGTGAGCTCCCAGCTGTCAGCCCTAGCTTCTGCATACCTAGCAGTTTGAAAGCATGTAATGCGAGTAGATCAATAGGTGCTGCTTCGGCAGGGAGATAAAAGGGCACCCAATGCAGACATGCAGGCAATCGTCAGAGAAAGTCTATGGACAACAGTTTCCTCAACATGGAAAATGGAACAAGAGCACCTCCCCATGGCCAAAGTTGAGCACTGCCTCCAGGCACAGGAGATGGAAAAGGGAAGGCCTTTACCTTATCTGTCTATTGTATGTTGTTTGTTCACTGTGTAAAAAGGCATTGAATGTTTGCCTTAGATATGTAAAACTGTAATCTGTTCTGAGTCCCTCCGGGGAGGTAAAGTGGAATATAAATAAAGTGTATTATTATAATCCAGGTCAAAGCAGATATTGTAGATTACCTATTTTGATAATTAACTGACAAACCTTCCAGAGAAATCATAGAATCAAAGAGTGGGAAGAGACCTGGTGGGTCATCCAGTACAACCCCCTGCCAAGAAGCTGGAAAATCGCATTCAAAGCACCCCAAGAAAGGAGCCTCCACGATGCTATGGGGCAGAGAGTTCCACTGCTGAATAGCTCTCACAGTGAAGAAGTTCTTCCTAATGTTCAGGTGGAATCTACTTTCTTGTAGTTTGAAGCCATTGTGCCATGTCCTAGTCTCAAGGGCAGCAGAAAACAAGCCTGCTCCCTCCTTCCTATGTTTTTTCGTCACATCTTGATACATGGCCCTCATCATGCCTCCTCTCAGCTTTCTCTTCTGCAGCTAAACATGCCCAGCTCTTTAAGACACTCCTCATAGGACTTGTTTTCCAGACCCTTGATCGTTTTAGTCACTCTCCTCTGGACACATTCCAGCTTGTCAACATCTCCCTTCAATTGCGGTGTCCAGAACTGGACACAGTGTGATTCAAGGTGTGGTCTGACCAAGGAAGAATAAAGGGGTAGCATGACTTCCTTGGATGTAGACACTAGTCTCCTATTGATGTAGGCCAAAATCCCATTGGTTTTTAAAGCTGATGCATCACATTGTTGGCTCGTGTTTAACTTGGTGTCCACAAAGACTCCAAGATCTTTTTCACACCTACTGTTGTCAAGTCAGGCATCGTCCCCCATTCTGTGTCATTGCATTTCTTTCTTTTTCTTTTTTCTTTGCCTAAGTGGAGTATCTTGCATTTGTCCCTGTTGAAATACATTTTGTAATTTTAGGCCCATCTGTCTAGGACAGTGGTCCTCAACCTGTGGGTCCCCAGATGTTTGGGTCTTCAACTCCCAGAAATCCTAACAGCTGGTAAACTGGCTGGGATTTCTGGGAATTGTAGGCCAAAACACCTGGGGACCCACAGTTTGAGAACCTCTGCTCTGATCTGTTAAGATCATTTTGAATTCTGCTATCTTCTGGAGGTATTGTCTACCCCTCTCAATTTGGAGTGATCTGCAAACTTGATGATCATGCCTTCTAACTCTTCAAGTCATTAATAAAGATGTTGAATAGGACCAGGCCAGGATGGAACCCTGTTTATGGCACTCCACTCATCACTTCTTTTCAGGATGAAGAAGAAACATTGTTGAGCACCCACTGGGTTCATTTACTTAACCAATTACAAATCCGCCTAACCATAGTTTTGCCTAGCCCATATTTGCCAGAAGGTCATGGGGGACTTTGTCGAAGGAAGGCCTTACTGAAATGCAGATAACCTACATCCATGGTGTTCCCTGCATCTACCTAGCTTGTAACTCCAATCAAAACCATTTGTTATTTATTTGTTCACTCACTTACGACTCTTTGTGACCTCATGGACCATCCCATGCCAGAGCTCCCTGTTGGCCGTGGCGATCCCCAGCTCCTTCAAGGTCAAGCCAGTCACTTCAAGGATACTACCCATTCATCTTGCCCTTGGTCGGCCCCTCTTCCTTTTCCCTTCCATTTTCTCCAGCATCATTGTCTTCTCTAAGCTTTCCTGTCTTCTCATTATGTGGCCAAAGTACTTCATCTTTGCCTCTAATATCCTTCCCTCCAATGAGCAGTCAGGCTTTATTTCCTGAAGTATGGACTGGTTGGATCTTCTTGAGGTCCAAGGCACTCTCAGAACTTTCCTCCAACACCACCATTTAAAAGCATCTATCTTCCTTCGCTCAGCCTTCCTTATGGTCCAGCTCTCACATCCATAGGTTACTACAGGAAATATTAGTGCTTTAACTATGTGGATCTTAGCTCATAAAAATGAGAACAACTTACTTCATAACTTTCCCTCACTGCAGATGTGTGTCTGTTTGGATTCAGTCCCTGAAGAGCAAGCAGCTGAAGCTGAGGATATGGGTAGTTCCTAATTTCATGAACAACCTGTATGAAGAAAATACATTTAAGATATATAAACCCTTTTTCCTAGTTCCAACAGACCTCACTACCTCTGAGGATGCTTGCCATAGATGCAGGCGAAACGTCAGAAGAGAATGCCTCTAGACCATGGCCATATAGCCTGAAAAAACCTACAACATCACATTTAAGACTGTGCTCTCACCTCCTTTTCCCCTACAAAGAATACCAATACCCCTTGGAAAACGATTAAGAAATCCCATAGTGTTTGAAGTACCCAAAAATTCTTTTCACAGAGATATTAGGGTGCAGCCTTGTAGCCCGTGATAGATGTTTCTTGAAGCATGCATGTAAAAGACAACGGTAAGCATTCTTTTCCTTTTTTAAAAGTGAAATCTGTCAGATTATCCATTCAGACAGAACGCCTCCCACAGTGGCAGCTCATAACAAGAAAGCAGGTGACAGGGTTGATAGACGCCGGTATTTTGACTGTCTTCTCCCAGACAATGACTCAGGCCCGGGCTACACAAATAGGCAGATTGTGTGTTAAACTGTCCCTGGATGGTACCATTGCAAATGGCAGAAGGAGGGAGGCATGGCTGGATCAAGGGCTCCCCCATATTAAGATAAAGAGAAACAAGCATAGGGAAAATCAACATATCAGGACAAAGCTTCTAACCGAAGCCTCCTACTGAATGCTAGTTTTGAATGGGCAATGCATTCCCATTGGGAAAGTGGGTTAGTAACCCTGAAAAAACTAGCATTTGCAACCTTAGTGTTCCAACTCCAAGTCTGTTCTTTGGAGTCATGTCTCTATCCATGAAACCTCAGGATAAAATGGCAGGATAAACATACAGTGATAGCCCATATCCATGGAAAATACTTTAAAATTTGAATATGTTTTAATAGTTTTTAACTGACATTCTTTAAGATACTGTTTATATTTAATGTTTGCATATTTGTATGTTTTAACTTGTATGCTGATTCTTTTATGTTAAGCCCTTTTGAGTAGAGATAAAGTAGGATATAAGGAGCCCCCAAGGGCGAAGTGGGTTAAAGCACTGAACTGTTGAAATTGCTGACCAAAAGGTCGCAGGTTCGAATGAGTGGCATGAGCTCCCGCTGTTAGCCCCAGTTTCTGTCAACCTAGCAGTTTGAAAATTTGCAAATGTCAGTAGATCAATAGGTACCACTCTGGCGGGAAGGTACCAGCGCTCCATGAAGTCATGTTGGCCGCATGACCTTGGAGGTGTCTACGGACAATGCTGGCTCTTCAGCTGAGAAATGGAGATAGGGGAAAACCTTTACCTTTACCTTTACTAAAGTGGAGTATAAATAAATATACTACTACTAATAATAGTAATAATTTCCTGGCTAGACCAACATGATCTGAAATCATGGATATGACCAAACACCATCTAAATTTATGACTTCCGATCTCTGCATACCAAAGGTTTGTGTTGGAGGGCCTAGAGATTCCTAAAGAATTCTCTGGTTCCTCCAACATGACAGCATGGGCCTTTCCACACAGCCATATAACCCAGAATATCAAGACAGAAAAACTCATAGTATCTAAAATATATATAAAAAAAACGCATAGTAACTGGAATATCTGAGTCCACACTGCCATTTATCCCAATTCAAAGCATATAATGTGGGATTTTATTTAGCTGTGTGGAAAGGGCCTCAGATACCTTCTGGGGGAATTGTCTGGAGGACGTAGCAAATTTCTATAGACCTTTTCCCCCAGGTGCAGGTAAGAGAAACTGTAGGTATGGGTTCTCTGCTTACAGAGGTCCTATTGTCCACATTTGCTAGAGTTAGGGCCACAGGAACCCCATGAAAGTGAAAAACAATATATAAAGAAGTTGTTACTATTTTTATCTGAAATAACATATTTTCAAGAATGTCTCGGTCTTCTAGCATGACTCTATGGCCAACATCTGCTGGAGGACCAAGAGATGCCTAAAGAGGGGTTCCCTTTAGATATCTCTAGATCAGTGGTTCTCAACCTGGGGTCCCCAGATGTTTTTGGCCTACCACTCCCAGAAATCCCAGCCAGTTTACCAGCTGTTAGGGTTTCTGGGAGTTGAAGGCCAAAAACATCTGGGGACCCCAGGTTGAGAACCACTGCTCTAGGTCCTCCAGAATGCTTGGAGGAAGTTGGCTATATAGTTCCACTGGAGGATCTAGACCAGGTATGGGCAAACTTGGGCTCTCCAGGTGTTTTGGACTTCAACTCCCACCATTCCTAACAGCCCAAGTTTGCCCATACCTGGTCTAGACATTCCTGACAGATCCAGCTGAAAAGTCTAAGAGAATTACTTCTAACCATAACTGCAAATTATAACATTGTTATGTAGGTTTACTTTTAAAATATCTCAATGGAATTATAAAATAGAATAAAAGCATATGAAATAATTACATATTACATAAAACTGAAAAAAGAAATGGAAGATATAGAAAGAGGAAAGAAAAAGGAAGGAAAAATAAATAGCTTTTTCTGTGTGTGTGTCAGGACCGATTTGAGAAACTGCAAGTCGCTTCTGATGTGAGAGAATTGGCCGTCTGCAAGGACGTTGCCCAGGGTATGCCCAGATGTTTTGATTTTTTTATTATCCTTGTGGGAGGCTTCTCTCATGTCCCTGCATGGTGAGCTGGAGCTGACAGAGGGAGCTCATTCACGCTCTCCCCAAATTTGAACCTCCGACCTGTCAGTCTTCAGTCCTGCTGGTACAAGGGTTTAACCCACTGTGCCATCGGGGAACATGTAAACGTAACCAATCTTTTATACATTTGCTATAACTAACTCTTCGTTAAACTTCCGCCATCTTTTTTACCCTTAAGTAACACAGGAAACATTAATATTCAGATAAAATACTCCTTTTTTCTTTGCTGTAGCGATTTTATTCGTACACGTACATGCATGAAAGCTCTTATCTTACTAATTAATTATCCTACAGAAAGTTAGCAAAAGGTAAGTTCCCATATCTATCCATTAATAACCATTTTAAATACAGTTATTTCTATTTAAGCAAAAAGGTATTCTTTGAAACTCTTTTAGCCCTAATGTTTAACACCCAGTGTGAACAGTTCAATATACCCATTATCTGCTATTGTAATTCCATTACAGTCATACATTTTCAATGAATTAAATCAATTCAGTCCTTTCCTTATATAGTCACACTATAACCTCAACATAAAAAGTCATATACTTTGTTAAATCAAATATTTTTCCTCCTTAGTTCTAGTAGGTTAGAAACTGAAGTATAATTGATAATCATCCTCTCAGAGCCCTTCCACACAGCCGTATAACCCAGAATATCAAGGCAGAAAATCCCACAATATCTGCCTTGAATTGGGTTATCTGAGTCCACACTGCCATATATTCCAGTTCAAAGCAAAAAATGTGGAAGGGGCCTCAGTTTGTGACCAATCCTACTTCAAGACCATGTAGTTAAACCCTCCAGAGCTTTCTTAATCTACACTGTACTTTGATTTTAACTTAAATGTAACTTTCCCCTTTCAAAGTTCAGAAAAATACAAATGGAGACACTTGCCATTTAATAAACATTCGAGGGTTGAATGAAAAGTAATGCCTCCACCTTCGTAACTCCTCAACAGATGGCAGTACTGGTATGCAGCAGGTACTGGCTTGTTCAGTAGACTCTCCTCTACAGTTCCATTTTGGTGGGAAGCCTTAGCATTGAACAGTTGTGTTGTTAAATGCGAAGTATGGAACTCTGTGCAGATAGTCAGAATTCAATGACATGCAGTCATTGAATTCTTGACAGCAGAAGGTGTCACCCCAAAGGAGATTCATCCTGCTCACGCTCCCACCTCCATTGCATGGTGGGGACAAAGGAGAGGGCCTTCTCGGTGGTGGCCCCTCGACCCTGGAACTCGCTTCCCAAGGACATCCGGGATGCCCCAACTCTGGCAATTTTTAGGAGGAGCCTGAAAACGTGGTTGTTCCAGTGTGCCTTCCCAGAATAATGAATTTCTCAGCAATATGCCCTCAAAATGCACTTTATTATTGATTTAGGATTTATTGATTTGCACGCCCTATCCCCTCCGAAAATTTCCATCCCAGTTATATCCTACCTTGCTCATGCCTAGCATTATTTTTCAAATTTAAATTTTACATTTGGCCCAGCCATAGGTTTTAAATGCTTGTTGTGTTACTGTACTGCTTATATTTTATTTTTGTTTATGAGATGTATTTTAACTGTTTTGTATTGTTTGATTGTTATTGTTTTATTATTGATGTATTGTGGGCTCAGCCTCATGTAAGCCGCACCGAGTCCCTTGGGGAGATGGCAGCAGGGTATAAATAAAGATTATTATTATTATTATTATTATTATTATTATTATTATTATTATTATTTATGAGAGAATACAAGCTGTTTATGGTGATTGTGTTGATGTGAGTACTGTGTGTCATTGGGTGAGTAAGTGATAGATAGATAAATGGATAGATATGGGTTACCTTTTGCTAACTTTCTGTAGGATAATTAATTAGTAAGATTGGGTGAGTAAGATGTTGAGGTGGGAATATCTGACTTGTATGACAAACAAAAACTTCTTCTGTGACAGCTTCAGAAAACTTGTTCATCGTTGGCAGAAATGTATCTAATTGTCTAGTGATTATATGGAAAAGTGAATAGTGGTAGTTAAAGAGCACATTCTAAGGATTATTTCTGCATTTTATTAAAATATTTCCATCCAAACCCAAGTAACAAAGGTGGAGGCATTACTTTTCATTCAACCCTCATACTTTGGATGCACCTTTCTACCCCTTTCCCCTCCCCTCTTGCTCTATGCTTCTTCCCCAAAAAAATTGCCTATATTTCCTTCCAGTCCTATGCTTCATTATTATTTTTTCATCACAGCTTCAGCCTTCTCAAAGGTAGTCTTCCAATTTCCAATGTTCTCACCGATTTTAATCTGGTCTTCCTCGTCTTGGTTGTTAATCTTTCCACCTGATATCAAGGCTGCATAGTACCACAGCGCATAATCATTTTCAT